TATTGATATGTTCATGGATTTTATCGCTACATCCTTGATGCTGACGTTTCCCTAAATGAAGATGAGTTTCACGCGCTGCACTGAACCCAAACCCTCCATGCTTTGTGCCGTTTTTTAAACTGGATTTGAAGGAAACGATTCTCTGCTGACATGCAGAATTAGTGTTTGAGTCGTCAGATTATTGGCTCCGTTTCGCTGCTGCATGAGGTGGAAATCCAGGGTCTTCATGCAGCAGACTCCATCTGACGCTGTGGGTGTGTTGCGTAGTGAGTAATATAAACCCAGCTGCTCCTCTCAAAGCTCCTGTGCCTAAAAAAAAAAACCTGTCGCTTTGATTTTACTGTAATCTTGTAATAACCTTTCTGCTTTTCCGCTCTTTGACCCGACGGCTTGCCCGCTGCTACGGAGTTATTATCCACTGGACATCTGGAAGAGTTTAGCCGCTTCACTTTTAAACACTGTCCATAATCACATCCACAGCCTCAAACATCTTCTTTACGTTACGCAGAGCTGATTCATCCTGCTTACATCTGATTCTGGTGCAGAAAGAATATTATTAGTCATGGGCCATTAGGCGGACTCTGTGTAGAAATACCTAGATTTTACAATTTCATGGTTTTAACACAACAATTTAAAACTAGAAAGCTTTTATAAAGGGATTGTTTTTATTGAAAACAGAAAAGAGACAGTAATTTGGGAGCTCATGTAGCGTACAGAGTATTAGGATGATAATATTTAATGTGTTTATAGTAACTGAATCTTAAGAAAACAGCCATATATTCTCCTTTTACCTACTGAGTAGCTTTTTATGGACGATGCCGACCATAAATACCAGAGATGTTTGTTTTTTCTTTTAGTTGTTGATATATTTATACTGTTTTTGTTGATTCTTGTCCTTTTATGCTGAAATAGTTTCTTCCATCAGTCATTGTTTGTTTTTTTTTTTGGCTTCTGGAAGGAAAACTGGAGCTTCAGATAAATTACCTGTTGGGTTTCATAAAGTTGTTGATCCAAATATAGATTAAATTACCTCGACTAAACAGTTTGTTTTTGTGTTTTCTTTTCAGCAATATAGATCTGGCTTTGAATCAATAAATCATGAATATTCATGAGAAAGTGCCAGTTCCACTAGCAGATTATTTCACTTATAACAAGGAAAAATGTTTTTTTTAAGCCAGAAGAGTTGGAACGGTTTTAAAATCAAAATTAAAGAATTATTTCCATAAAACAAGCTGTATGCAGCCATTTAAAATGACCAGTTTATCTGATTTTACTCTTTATAGGTAAATGTTTGTGTAAAATGAACATTTTTTTATTCTATGGACTTTTGACAACATGTCTGAAATTCAAAGCAAAAATTTAGTTTTTATTTGCAGGAAAGATGCAGCACTTTCAGACCTCAAATAATGCAAAGATCAAAGTTAAAATTTATTTAGAAACGACAATACTAATGTTTTAACTCAGAAATCAATACTTGGTGGAAAAACCAGGAGGTTTTCACTGCAGTGGGTCCAGAGCTGTTTGTAAGTTAATTAATGTTAGTTTTGTCTTATTTCAAGTGTACTAAGATATTTACATCAGAAGCTTGACCAAAAATACTCGGTAGGATTTTGTGTTTTTGCAGTGTAGGACTGTAAATCCAGAAAACTGAGTATTATTAGCACCATAACGTTAAAACCCTTGACACCTTAAACTGATTAAACCATCACAAAACGTCTTTGTTACTTAATGCGTCTCTGAGCATCAGAGCAGGCCTGTCCTGTACGGATATGCTGGCGCTACAGAGCCTGCGAGCCCGGACAATACATCAAAGTTTAATGCAGAATAATAGCTCTGCTGACAGCTCTCGTAAAGATGCCCTCTTCCCGAGCAGACGATTTCTCCCTCTGATAATCGCTGTGATCTGGGTGGCGGGTCACCTGCTCCGCTGCTGAACTGCACCTGAGTGCATGCATGCATGTCTGAGCCAACTGCAGCTGCTGCTGCTGCAGCTGGTGGTGGTTTTTTTTTTTTATTTTCTGAAGTTTCCTGGTAAAGACTGACAGGATGTTTCCACGGCAGAGAAAAGTGAAGCTTTGATTTCTTGTAAGAGGCTGTGGCAGACGTGTTTTGTGAATAGGGACTGTTTACATGCCAACCCTGAGACTTTCACAGAGGGAGGAAGAGTGTTCGGCCTCAGGATGAATTATGGATACCACATGTCTAAAGCTGGAGGCCACTCTTCAGCCGGAGTGCTTTTCAAGGATGGGTAATTGAGGTGTGCTGCTAAAAGATGCTAATATTCCACAGAGAAAGCCTCAGAAGCTCATTTAGGATGCTGAATGGGTTTTATAAACAGCTTTAGGTTGTTGAATAAATTGCCTGTTGCACTACAGTTTTTGTTAATATGCATCTGCATCATAAATATAATTACACATGCTCACTTCCGCAGCCCGGGTCACAGAGATCCGGTTCTGTATTTGTTGCATCCGGCACACTTTCCTTTCTTTTAACCAATCTGTTGTTTCTTAGAGCCACAGAGAGAGGGACCGCTCTAAATGTGAAAACCAATTTCCTAAAGGGGACTTATTATGCAAATCTCACATTTTGCACATTTTTATGCTGATACTATACCATTTGAGTCTCTGCTTCTTCTGAAAACAGCCCAAGCACTTAGAGAAAAACACGCAGTCGGTTATTGGCAATAAGTTCATGTTTTTTGGTGTCTGGAAAATGGGTTGTTTCAAAAACCTCCTGAACGTAACGTCACAAATTAGCAGGCACTGCCCGTCACTTAGCAACCCCAGAAATGCTCAGTCCGTTACCTAACAACACAAGTTAAGCTCCAGCACATTTGACCACTTTTTGCGCTGTACAATGGCTGCTGGAAAAGTATTTTGTTGTTGACTTACTATTAAGAAATATCCTGGTAAAAACCAGTTACTAGTTCTGGTTTATCCAGAGGCTCTGGACTCTGTTGACCTTTTAATTTTTACACAATCGATATTTGGCCGCGACGTGTATAATGCTCCAGTTGGACTCTACGAAGCTTTCCTGGTAACTTCCTGCACTGTAAACAACCATCTTCCACTGCAAGAGAGAGGTGCTGATCCAAACAATGTTGATTCAGTGTTTGGAAACGTGGCCAACATGGACTGATTGGCTTCTTTCACTTCCTCTGGTGCCTTTGATAAAACTACAGGCAGAATACAATTCAAAACAAAGCAGAAGATCAACGTCATCGTTCACAGCTTCTCTTTCTGTTCTCTGATTGGCTGAATTTCAACCTGGGCAGAGAAATCCTCCTCAGTGGGAGAAAGCCCAGACTGATCTGTGACGTGCGATTAGAATCAAGCGAAGCAGCGCAGGAGGGCAAAGGCCAGGCTAATTCTGAAACCACTTGCTGCATTCTTGGTTGTGCAGGAGGCTCTACTTCTGCTTTTCAAAGATATACGGTTGTACAATTACGCATCTGTTTGCAGCCATTTTCACGTGCAAATTTAAACATTGAGTTGGGGGGCGTGGCCACCAGCAGCTTGTAGGTGACAAGACGCCCTGAAACAGGAGCTCAAAATAGGCAGAACTGAGCAGATGAAAATGTGAATATCTCAGAATGGTTTTGTGCAAAAAAATGTCCTTAACAGGTTTTTTTATAGACCTACAGCTCCATCCTAACCTGTTCAAGGAAGCATAATAGGTCACCTTTAAGATGAAAGGCTTCACACCCACTGCCTACATGCAGAGTCTCTTCCGACACCTTCCAGCGACGGCGCATACTGTAGCAGAGGCTTGTGCTACGCAGACACACTCGAGCTAGCATCCCTCCCCACACCCATCGGCGCCGCAACACGCTTGCATCCCTGCCTGCCTCCCGTTCACTCCATTTCTCCATTTCTCCCTCTTCCTTCTCCTCCTGCCAACAGAGCCAGCCGGGAGGAGAGCAGAAAAGGTGCAGAAGCAGAAGGACTCGACCGTCGAGAGGGATGAGCTTCCATTAAAAGCCCGAGGCGCAGCCGCCTTGTTTTCCCCCCTCACGTCGTTCGGTGTGGCACGGTGGGGTTTTTCAGGCGTGGAGCATGCTCAGCCACACGCAGGGCGTGAAAAGCGACACTGGCTATGATGCTAGATAATTGCTTCCCATTTCCCTGTGTCCTCAGACAAAAATAGCATGTTGCCGGTGCAGCATGGGAGCTGTGATTGCTGTGGATCGATGCACAAAGTGGACAGCATTTTCCAGGCATAAAGTCTGCACACCACCTAGCTAAATCATGCAAGAAATGCTCCGTATGCCAGCCTGCATAGTGTGGGAAGGCTCCTCAACGTAAACACAGCTTGTGTGTGCGCTTTTGGTTTGGTGACAATCCCAAATATAGTCCAGACATTTACACAGGCCTAAGTGTTGTTTTTTCACACCTCAGTGCTACCTGCATCACATCCGCAGATCGAAACTCACCGCCGAACTCATTCCCTCCCTGAGCCAGCCCCCATCTCCTAACTTCATGTTTTTCTTCCACATAGCGGACATTTCAGGTCCGACGGACGACTCCAGAGGAAAATTGTTTATGTTTAATCATCCTCATCGATGCGTTCAGCAACTACAGGAGGCATGCACGCATCTATAGGTGCTGCACAGCCAGAGGCATGTAAAAACAAACCAAGCTGCAAATAAACCAGATTCACCTCGCAGAACATGTGCATTGCAAATCCTATCTTTCATAAGAGCCAAAGCTGGCTCCGCACACCGATAAACCGTCTCCAGGTGCTGCAAACACGCATCCAGGTGAAGCAGGGAGGCGAAACGACAAAACCCACATTCAAGTTGAGTGTGAAGAACAACCACTGCAGTGCAGTACTGTACACAACCAGGTGCTGAGATCCTGCCTTTTTAGAGCCCACACCGGGCTAACCATGCTGGGTAACTGATCAACTACAGCTGCCTGCACAAACAGAGGGAGAAATATGAGCAGAAGCAAAAAAAGAGGGAGAGGACGAGCGACGGGGCCGGCCTCTCGCGTACTCACCAGCACCGGCAGGACACAGCAGAGACACCAAGAGCACAATCACCAGCGTCAGGATCTTCACATTCATTTCTGCACTCCCCTCTGGCTCTCCGCTCGTCACTCGCTGATATACTGTAGTGGTGTGTGTGTGTGTGTGTGTGTGTGTGTGTGAGAGAGAGAGAGAGAGTGTGTGGATGGGAGGGGGAGAGAGCAGCTGAGCGAGCAGTAAAGGAGAGAGAGAGAGAGAGACTGTTTGCCTCTGTGCGTGTGTGTCAGTTTCTAGGAATGTGTGTGTTTGTATATCAGTGTGTGACAGCTCCCTCTCCAAGACTGAAGGCACGTCTTTATCTGAGCGTCTCTCCTTCTGTCAGAGGATCCAATCAAGTTCAGAGGAGCTGGTCCAGGTCTGTCAGCGTGCCGGCGTGCTTGTGAGCCGACTCGGTCATGTGGCTTATGTATCACTGACTCTGTGGGTCACGGACAAGCCCTCCTGCCCCACCATTACCCACCATCTCCACCCCTTTCCTGCAAACAGGCAAAAGCACGCGGCAGCGGCGGAGGAAACGGGGGGGAAAGGGGCTGGCGCATGCAGGTTTATGATAAAACCCTTGTTGAAAAGGCTTTGAATCAAACGGGATCCAGAAATCTAAACACCAGTTCATGATGGGAGAGAGATGAAAGAGAGGGAGGTGTGAGATGAGGTTTCCACACTGCAAAAACACAAACTGGTAATAAAACACCAGCTCCACTGGCAGATATTCACTTATTACTAGGACTTTTTCATCAATATTGAGGGATTATTGACTTAAAACAAGCCTCAGTATGTTGCTGAAAAGTTACCTTTAACTTCGTTTTGTCTTATTTCAAGTGTACTAAGATATCAGTACAAGAAAATAGACAAAAATACTTGGTAAGATTTTGTTTTTGCAGTGAAGGTGCAAGGTTTGTTTTCCACACTGCAAAAACACAAAACCTTACCAAATATATTTGTCTATTTTCTAGTGCAAATATCTTAGTTTTCTCTTATTTCAAATGTACTAACTTACAAGTAACTTTTCTCCAAGATGTATAGGCTTGTTTTAAGAAAATAATTCCTTAATGTTAATTTTTTTAAAAAAGCATAAGTTCCACTGGCAGATTATTTCACTTATATGAAACACTTTTTCATGAATATTAAACCAAACTCCAAATTCTTGCTGAAAAGTTGCTTATGTGAATTTTGTCTCATTTCAAATGTACTAAGATATTTGCACTAGAAAATACAAAAAATAGTTGGTGAGACTTTGTGTTTTTGCAGTGCAGCTTTTGTGTCTGCACCGTCTTTTCTCCAAGGTGCGCCTCTAAATCATTTCACTGTTTGAAGTTGGTGACACTCCGAGCAACAGCAGGAAAGAACCAATCAGAGCAGCCGACTCCACGGCTCGCAGTGTTTGTTTCAGCTGCACCGTGAAGTCATTTGTTTTATTTCGCTACACAGATTATATTCTTTCTGTGAACAAAAGCCGCTGTGAAACCGCACCCTGCGAAATGAGTCTGCTTGTTTCTTATGTAGTGTTTATCGGACAATAAACAGGAAAGGTTGCTGTGAATTGTGAGAAGTACAACTTTCCTTATCGCCTTCGGCCAAAGAAGGCAAAGTTTCTCCCATTTTTCAGAAAGGACTATAAATTTTGTATTGTTTACCATAAGAATGCAGAGTATGTAAAGGAAACAAAACTCACCCAGTGACATCATGGTAGAGGATTAGGGCCGAGGAAACAAAACACAAGAATTTTGACTATTTTCTCAGAATTTTGACTATTTTCTCAGAATCAGAATTGTTTAAAATGTTATTGCACTATCAGTCAAATCTAGTCATAAAACTAAAATCTATAAATAAATTTAGGAGAAGCTGTCAGTGATAAATGCAAGTTTATAAATCCTAAACAATTAAGAAACAGTTACTTGCTTATTGATCTGCTGACAGCATAATTGACATACACAGAGGAATGTTTGGTTAGTTGTTTGGATTTTGACACATAATTATATTTCTGAGATTATAGTGAGAATAGTGAAAATTTAGGAGAAAAGCCAGAAGTATGAGAAAAACCTCAAAATTCTGAGAAAAAAATCAGAATTCTAAGAAAAATTTCAAAATTCTGAAAAAATGTGAATTCTCTGATTACAAATTCCATGAAAAATGTCAAAATTCTAAAAACAAAAATTCTGAGAAAATGTCAGGATTCTGACAAATTCTGAATCATCCTGAAGTTGAAAGATTTTTCTCCAAAATCACTTAATCAGAGTCCAAACCACAAAGTTAAAAACCCGGCAAAGAATGAAAATAAATAAGACACTTACGCGACTGATTAATCTAAATTATTTATGTCTAAGTGATGAACTTTTTACATGGGGTCAATTTACTGTGAGTCCAAAGATCCGAGTCCCCAGAGGGCCACAGTGACACATGATGGATGGAGCCCAGAGAAGCAACCCGCCCCCCATGTTGGTCCCCCGCTCAGCCTTTTCATGTGTGTCGCTAAGCGGACGCTCCGGCGCTGCGGGTCTGAGCGGAGCGGCCCTCTGACCCTCGACTCTGCAGATCCCGCTTCACACAGCTCCGCCATTGTCTTCACAGGACCTCCGGGTCGCAGAGGCCAGCGCGTCTGCCACCCACTTGAGGTCCAACAACGACGCCACCTTCCATTTTTACACGCAGCACTTGAAGCTTTCACTTCTTGTGAAGCAACCCGTCACACCTCCAGGGTGACTGAAAGACCCGCAGACGCTTGTCCAAGCCTGACCTTCTTTTAGCGCCGAGATAACCCGACGAAGGAGTCCGTTCCCCGCATTTTCTCAGAGGTGCTCACTGATCGCTCACAGAAACGCGGAGTAATTATTTCCAACGGCACATAATGAGCAATACAGGGAGTTACGGCTCCATTACAGACTCATTTGGTAGTCAGGAGTAGTTAATTTAAAATTCATTTCCATGCAACATTCAGAGTCGGTCTCTAAGCGAAGAGCCTGCACTGTTGTTTCACATTAACAGTTAATGTTACAAGTATTCACACCCCTGAACCTCTTCACATTTCTTCATGAAATAATCAAAAGTTGGATTTTATGACACAGAACAACAGAGATGTAAAAACATGTTAGCTCAATTATTCAGCTTTTTTTTCCCTTCTCTCAACTGAAACTTAACCAAATTTTAAAGGAGACTTTTTTTTTTTTTTCCAAAATTCACGTTTTGTAAGTTTTTCTATTTCCATTTGTGTTTCTGCTGCTTCTAAAAACAAACCAAGCACTTAATAAAATCACCCAGCTGTTTTCTGACAACAAGTTAAGGTTTATTTAGTGTCTGGAAAATGAGCCGTTTCAAAAACCTGCTGATTGTTAGCCACAACTGATTGGCACTGTTCTGATACCTAGCAACCCAAGCTGAAGTCCAGCATGTTTGGTCATCTGGTTTTACAGTCGTGTGAGCTGTACAATGGCTGCTGGAAAAGACAAATTATTTTTTGTTGACTTACTGAAACCACTTACAGCATTATTGTTGGTTGTGCTGGAGGCTCCACTTCTGCTTTTCTGGACATTTGATCAGCTGGCATTAAAACCAGCAGACCAAATGTCCTGGAGCTCCACTGGGGTTGCTAGGTAACAGACAGGGGTTGCTAAGCAACAGGGCAGTGCCTGCTGGTTTGTGAAGTTGGGGATTTTGGAAGGTTTTTGAAATGGCTCATTTTCCAGACACCAAAAAACATAAATTTACTGCCAAAACACTGGCTTGGTGTTTGTTTTAAAGCCTTTGCATTTTTTTTAATAGAAGCAGAGACTCAAATGTATCTCTAAAAATGGGCAAAATGGGAAATTTGCATAATAAAGAGAATTGCAATGGATCTTAGGTAAAGATTATTTTTCTGCACCAGTTTTGTGGGAGCTGATCACTTGAACAGCCCAACAAGACGTCTTTAGGTTGTGACTGTAACACGACAGAAACGTGAAAAAGGAAATAAATGAATTGTAAAGCAGTCAAATTAAAGCCAGTATCCAGGTCTTGGTCCAGGTGTTCCCAGTGTTATTTTATAGCTGTGGACTGATTAGCTGTTAAAATGTAATACGAACATCGGATAACGGCGGCTGAGTCTTGGTAAAGTTGGCATTGAGGGCTTAAACATTAGCACCCCATTAGCTGTAAGTAGCTCGAAGCAAAGCCTGTAATGAAAACCCAACAGATGGCGTTTCCTGTGTGTGTCGGTGGGGGATTGTGGGGTTTTTCACGCTCAGGGATGTGGGGAGATACCTGGCAGTCAGAGGGCAGTAATACAGCCACATACGTCTCAACACAGGAAACACTTGGCTGTTTACAGGAAGCGTTTGATGGAGGAACGCTGTTCATGTTGGATGCGGTCACTGATGACGACGTTTCCTCATTCCTGAGTTTTTAATAACAGCCAGACATTCCTGAGACGATGGAAAAGGTGTATCTGCATTTTCTGACATTCATGCACAAATCATCAACAGGTGGCCCTTCAGCTGTGGATAAAGACGTTTAAAAACAGCAGCATTCACAATAATTGTGTTTCCTGTTTATCATTCTCTTCTAAATAAAGCCGTCAGATGCTAATGAAGTGCGCGGATGTTTGTTTGCGTTTTTGTTGGGTGATTAAATGAACAGTGGCAGGCTAGCAGTGTTGTTGTTTGTCCAAACACTTCCGCATCCGCTTCCATGGGTTTAGCATCCATCAGATACAGCAGCTTTGATTAAAATGGAAAACAAATCAAACATCCGTCTCTACAGGAGGCCGTTTCATCAGCCTGCTGAATCCAGAGTGTCGGATCGAAGCCGAGCCGTCAGCCATGAAACAAAGAAGGTCTGATGTTGTTGGAATATTGCGACGCTTTAAACAAACGCAGCAGCCGCTTTGTCATTAAATGTCAGGAATCAGAGGACTTTCATGGTGACTTTATCGACGGCAATCCATTTTCTGTAAAGCCTGCAGCAAGACTTTCTCTCTATAAACACGTTTTTAGTAATTTCATGCATGATTCGGGTTCCTCGTGTTAATTAAAAAACAAAGTTGTTTTTATTCCTGAAAGGTAAGAGACATCATTACATGCATGTTGCACAATGCATAATTAAGTTGAGACAAGATTTTAAAGAAGACAGACAGGAAGTCTGTGTGTAAAGTCTGAGACAGGTTTGTGGTTTTTCTCCTCCAAATTCAGACTTTGAACTTTAGACGTCAGCTGTCATTCCTTGGAAATCAAAACGCTCGCGGTACAGAGAGGAAAGCAATTTTCACAGCTTCAATCACAGAAATTAATGTCTTCCTTTCTACCTGTGAAATTTCTGGCTGAGGTTAATAAATGTTTAATTATAACATGTTTTATCATCTTGTTCTGCAGAAATGTTTCACCATTTGGGACTGAATGAATTGATGATGCTGACTGACTCA